TTACATTAGTTTACAATTCCTCATTAGCAAATAAATAATTTGTGAAAACTGACAGATAGTTATAGACAAAAATTCCTTGTTTAGAAATCAAATAAATTGCTGGCTTAGAATCAATATATATATGTTATTATGTCATTTTTAGATTAATGAACAGGGTTTTCAGCATACATTGTGCAATTTCTTCAATCTTGAGTTTTCCTCAAAACTCAAAAAGCAATCTACTTTTTCTGCAACATAGAAAAACATGTTTTTACAGTATCTTTGATAACAGCAAGGGTGTTCAATATACAAAATCCAAATTCCAGAGTGCTACTCTTAGAAAACAAATAGAAGTTATCTCTCCAGGTTTATACAGACAGGATATTATGAAGTTTTCAGAATTATTTATAATAAATAAATTCTCAGAAGTATAGAATGCTTAATGCACAACCACAAGCAAGGAATTTATCTAGGTACTTCTGTATGACTCACATATATTGAAGTTTCCAAAAGTAATTCTCCAATTTCAGAGGGTGATACATGTAATGTGACTTGACAGCAATATTGACAAATATATTAATTTGGAACATCACAGTGAGTCAATTCAGTGAAGTAGAAAAAAAATAATTAGATGTTCAGAATCACTCTGTTAAAGCTAAGACTCTACATATCTGCAGAAAACAGGAAAATATAACAACAAATTTCATATTATGGCAATTTCATGAAAGACTGTTAAGGTTTTCAATGCCATATGCCTCTAAAAGAAAATCAGTTTTCATAACACTATTTTAGTTTTCCTCTAATGTTTTCATAAATATGTACAAATGTGAAACTTGAATGACCCTTAGAAATTATCTAAAGCATAGTAGTCAATCAAACAGCTCAATAATTTGACATATTATTGCCCATTTCTTGGTAACTAAAGTTATTTAGTACATATAATTGTCAAAAACTAAAAAGTAAAACTAGCACTTATGTTACCTTGTTAATTTTCATGAGGTTTGTGTATGGCATTTTAATTACAAATAGGATACATGATACAATTGCAAGGGACAGTGCCCAGGAGTATTCTGAGCTGACATTCAAGATAAGGTATTTGGTTGCTCAGTAAAACAATTGTATTAAAAAGAATTTCTAAATTAAATGGCACTTCCTTTCCTTTAAAGCTGTGATGTTTTGCAACAAAACCTTTCTTAAACAAATACACACTACTCCTGCTTTGGACTTCATAATAGTTTCTAAAAGACAATAATACCCATATTTATACACTGTTATAATACCTGTGGACTGAAACCCATTATATTAGTTAATTAAGAAACAGTTTACATTACCATATTAAGAGAAGGCTCCCCTATCTTTCCTGATACATATTAATCACTTTATTAATAAGAGAAGCAACAAAGTATAGTTTTTACATCTAAGCATGACATTAGGCCAAGGAGATCTAGAAGCCAGGACTAGAAATCTTGGTATACAGGACTAAAACTCAGAATAATGATGTTAAACTGCAAACATGATCTAGGATAAAATTAAGATGCAATTAAAGAATGTAAATAGTTAACTAAAAATAACCAAGTGGGAAAATACTGGATGAGGACCCACAGTGTGTAGCTACTCTGGTATTTTGATGGTTAGAGTTACCATGAGTAAAAATGATCAGAAATACCATATTCCTGCAGAAAAGACAACATGCTCCTTGAACTGAAGCTAATCTTTACAGTTTACTTGTTGGTAAGGCTACAGCTGTAATTTCCATACAGAACATTCTCTACCTTTTGAATAAAGGAAGAAATTAGTGGAATTCAGCAGAAAATACAGAAAATAATAACTACCAAAGGTCTACAAAAGGTGGAAAAGAAAGCAAAAATTAAATAATCAGGAGTCTTTCCATTGGGAGGAAACCAACACGCAGAAAGTGCATGCAAAGTGAAAGCTCATTCTGCAGGAATATTACTTGTTTGTAGTGACCAGAAAAAATCCTTTCCCTAAATCTAGTCCTGTCTTTTTACAGGTTTATCATATGTACTTCTCAGCACCTGGGAATTCAACTTGTAACTAAGACACAATTTTCTTTAGCCAGTATTTTCCACTTTTTATCAGTTTCTTGCTTCTGTAAAAACACTAAACACAGTTAACTAGTTTTACAATGGTATTATCTACTCCAAGCATAACAGATAGGTTTAACAACCAAGTAAAAAGTTTTCTATTATGGCTCAAGAGATGCCTTTGTATATAGCAGTACAAGGTCTGCAAACAGAACTATAATGAAAAAAGCTGTATATGCAGCCACAGTTTTCAGGTAAAAGCAAATACCTCACCTGTTTCTTCATGTACACGTTTACCCAAAATCCTCAAGGTGTGTATTACCTTCAAAAGAGGTAACTTTGTTTTTAGAGCAAATGTTAGTACTAAAAAACCAAACAGACAAGCCCCCTACCACACAAACAAAAACCATCACAGCAAATAAAACCCCAAACCCTCAATTCCTTCTTTTTTTTCCTCTTTACCTAGCTTCCCACACTTCCATACCTTAATGGCATTTTTTATGCCCCCCCTTGCCTCACCTGGCCATTTTCACTGCTTAAGATTTTGCATGCTGTAAAAGAACGTTTGTTGGACACCCAGCCACATTTAAGCTTCTGACTTATAACATGAGCTCAGGTTTTGATAGCAATTCCTATATTGCTATCAATTCCTGATAGCAATTCCTGTATGTATAAAATCTGGACATGTTATCAGAACAGATATCTTATTAGCAAACAAAGCATTTTGCTTCGGTATATTCCATCCATATTCTACCTCTGCACAGCTTAAGTACCAGTACTTCTGAGTGAATTTAGCTAAGATGCTGATATGAATAAAATTAATTCAAATATCTGGTTACAGAACTGAGCACTAAATCCATAGGCTTCTAAATATTAAAACTATGCTAAAAATTCTAAGTTTGACCCAACGTCACTACATCAATTCATCCTTACAGCTTAGTTACATCCTAGCAGTGATTTCACAAGCAATATATTCACCTCCATATAAAAAAAAAGAAACGTTGAAAAGTTTGTCAGACAGTTCAGAATGACATCTCCTTTAATACACTACACATGCTCACTCCAATGCAAACCAAGTTTTAACTGTCATGCTGTCAAGAAAAATGATAATTCCCTAGTCATATCTTATCTTTCCAAGGAAGTAAGAACTACAGAACATTCTACAATAGAAAACTGTATCATAGGTTTAATAAAACCTGCCGCTTGCATGAAAGCCCAGAGTTGTTGTATTTGAAGCTGCCAAATGATAAAGAAAAAATAAAGAAAAACAACCAGTGAACAAAATGCAGAAGAGTGGGAAGCATTTCAAGTTTTTACATGTCTATTCTTCTATTTCCTCAGCCCTCTCTTAGCTTAATGCTATATAAAAGTCCATTAATAAAAGCCTGAGCACATGTAAAGAAGTCTTAGAGCTGCATTGGGTCATTAACTGTGATAGACCTTCTTAAGAGATATATCCATGAGCCTATTAGGAAAAGTCCTAACGTGAAAATCACCTTAAGTATGGTGCCTTATCAATGTTCAAGCATTACCTGCAGCAACAGATGTACACTGTGAAATCTAGGCTACTTTTGAATGCTCCCCTAAATCTGGCTTCAAATTTGTTCTATTAAAAACCAACCAACCAACAAAACCCTCAAAACCAAGAAAATAAACCTCCAAACCAAAAAGCTACTTGTACTTCTTTGATCTAATGAAATTAGGTGATTTGCATTTAAGTTTTTCTTCTAGATTTTGCAACAAATATTGTGGAATTACCTCAGTACTTGAAAACGTGTAAGTGAAACACGGAACTGCAGCTGATAGTTAAGGCAGACTGTCTCCTATTAACCAAGTGAGTTAGTGTAGAAAATTCTCTGTAAGGGGAAACTGCCTCATTTGAAATGGCTTGAATCCTTCCACTCCCAGTGCAGTTTGCAATGCACACATCTTTGTTCAGGCTGGGAGGGAAGGAGGCTTCCCAAGGTACAGGTTTTTTGATTAGTTATTTTTCCTTAAAGTGGTTCAATGTTGTTCTTTTTGCTTTGTAGCAAAGGTACCTACAACCTCTGTGTGGAACGCTGCTCACTTTTGATTCCTTAAGTTACTTCAGAAGAACCAAGCAAACTACTTTAGTCTTTCCTTTATCTGAATTATGAGCAAAGGGGGAAGAAAATAATTGCAAAACATTTAAATTGGGATTTGATCTCCAACAGCGTTATGATGATTCACACATTTTACTCAAAGTTTCTGCTTAATCCACAAATGTTCAGTTAAAAAGCCCCAGTGAAATGTGAATCAAAAAGAGCAGCAGTTTCATTTACTCTTACGTCACACAACATAACAAACCTACTGAAGTCTCAGGCGTACTGCTGTGCGTCCCTTTCTGTAAGACTTTGCAGTTTGTTTCTCCTAAACATACCTAAACTGACACAAGCGAGTTGGTAAATTTCACAGAAGAGTAAGACGCAGCCATCAAAGATGTCGACATTACACTTGCAGGGATACTTGATCCTACTCCTCTGCAACAAACCAGAGTGAAGAACAAGTTGAGCGAACTGCTGGCAGCACGGCTCCTGCCACCCGGGGAAAGCTGCGGCACCCACTGCCCGCGGCAAGCAGACAGGCTGCTTCTCCCTCGCCTCGCTCCCGTCCCGCGGTGATGCTCTCCCGCTTCTCCCTGCTCTCACTCCGCTGGAAACTTTCCGCGGGGCGCGGCACGGCCGCTGACACGGGTGCCGAGCCGCGGGGGCCGCGGGACGCCGGGGCCGCACTCGCAGCGCTGCGCGCCTCGCCCCGGCGGGGCGGCACAGCCTCGGGCACCGCGCCGGGTACCGGAGCATCCAGCGGGTCCTGCCGGACACTCCGATGTGCCACTCACCCCGCCTCCCTGCCCTCCGCCCCCCGGCCGGCGCCGACAGAACAACTTTCCAGGGGACGCTTGCCCTTTCCCGGCACTGGAAGTGTCTCGGCTCGGACCGGGCCGGCAGGGCTTACCTGACGTCCCCGCTCGGCTGCAGGGCAGGGCAGCGTCCCCGCGGTCCCCTTCATGCCCGAGGGGCTGCCTTGCCCGCGCACACGTCCTCATCCAGCTTCCTGCCCGCGGGCTGCGCCTCCTTCCCTCGCCCTGGCGGGGCGGGCGCCGCTCTCGCGGTCTCGCCGGCGCTGCAGGGAGGGAAGGAGGAACAGAGGGCGGGCGCCAGGAGGAGGAGGAGGAGAAGAAGGAGAAGGCGAGCAGGGGCGGGAGACGAGCTGTGCCCTCCCTCTCTCCGCCCCGACTGCCAACCAGCGGACGTAGAGCAGCCGCGGACGGACCGCGCTGCCCGGCTGCGGGAAGCACCCGGGCTCCCCTCGCCCTCACTGCGCCGCGTCCCTGCCGGTCGTCCCCGGCTCTGGCGGGCAGGGCAGGGCTCGGTGGTGCCTCTGGAGGGCGCCCCGATGCCAAAGCTCTGCGCTTTATCGGAGCGAGCCGGCTCCAGGGCCAGTGGCTGGGCCGGGCCGGGCTGGGCCGGACCGCGCTGGGCTGGCGCCGCCGCGCTTCGCCCGCTGCCGGCGATGGAGTTCGGGCCGGCCTCAGGATGGGACGGACGGGCTATGGAGGCTTCGGGATATGTGACAGGAGCCGGGGCAGGACAGATGTGGTGGAGAGCGCAAAAAGAGCTGGGAGGCGAATGCTGGAGGAGATCGTGAGAATAAGGTCTGCACAGTTCAGGAGAAGAAACAGGAATCGGGGAAGAAAGGAGGGAAACTGAACGATTCAGAGAGGAAAGGTGGCGTGCGGATTGGGAAGATGAATGATAAATGCACCTTTTCCTGATAAATTTTGCAGGAAGGGTGTTCAGAAAGGCAGGGAGAAGTGAGTATCAATAGGATAACAGAAGAGTAGAAAGCAGTAGCAAAGGATTGTCGGGCAACTAAGGAGCAAATGTGTAATGTAAGTCGTCAAAGGCAGGTTTGGGGAAGGCGAAGAAACTAAGGAGATAAGGATTCGGAGGAAGCCAAAATTTTACTTGGCTTGGCAGGAAATACATGTCAAACTTAGATGATGGGTACAGAGAAGTTAGTGACCTTATCCTAGAGGTTAGAAAAATGAGTCACTGAGGTCACTGAGGAAGGGATTTTACCTTAGAAGGGATTTTAATTACGGGAAATATTCTCAAGTGGAAGCATTGGAAAAGTAGGAAGTAAGCACTGCGGGAATTGCAGGGTAAGAAGGAACTCTGAGATCAAAAGAACAATTCCCAGCCTGAAATAGCTTGTGCGTCCGAGCAGAAGGCACAGAGTTCTTGTTTGAAATGAGTGGTAGTACTGCTTCTATATGGGATAGAAATCACCCTGTCCAGAAACTTCTTCTGTAAGAATTGTGCAGTATATCTCACCATTTTCTGGTAAATCCACATGGGTAGTGGAGCGTACTAAACTCACCTAAACTAAACTCACCTTTACAACCAGTGTAGCAAAGCGGACCCTGACCATACAGGACTAGCAGTAAAAGCAGTATTCCCTACAGACTTGATATCATCCTAGTCCTTGGAGAGCTGAATTGAGCTTTAGCTTTTAGCCAGCCCAGTCTGAAGAATGTATGGGCATGCTGATTCATTGCTTTTAGTGTCTGGAATGTCTACTGCCTGTTGTGTTGAAAATTACTTGAGATATGATGGGATACAAACTAGGATACATGAAACTGGAGTAAAAATTACTGGGTGTGCACTGAAATGTGTCATTGAAGTATTTACTTTGGAAATGAGGGGAAAAAATGTTGAATATCAAATTAATCTCTTCATTCAGAGGGTAATTTATTGTTGGAATAATGCCTTCTTTCATTGACCTCCTTCCTTTTTGACCTACAACACTCTGAAGTAGTTCTTTGGGGTTTTTTTAAAACCAGAATTTTATTCTGGTCTATTTTAACACCTTGAATCTCAGCTATTGTGAGATAGCTGTAGTGAACTGCAGTAAATTTATGTCCGGCACAAGGCTTGCGTTGTATGATTATTTTAAGCAGAATATTGTAAGCACAGGCGAGTCAGGGTATAGATTGGATTTAAAAAAAAAAGTATCCTAGCCTCCTTTGGGTAGGACTATGTAATCTGTATCTTTCCCTTTGGTTTTCTCTATTCATTTTGCTTCCTGCCCTTTATTGTGCAGAATCTTCATTCTTCTTGTGGCTTATCAATCCAACCACTGTAGTAATGTCTAAAACTAATTGTACATGTTTTGTGTATGTAGAATTTTTTATGGGAGTTTGGTTAACAGACATCTAGCAAATGATACTTTGATAGCCATCTCTTGCATAAAAATGGTATGCCAGTCTGGACTTCCAGGTGCTGTTGTAGTATTGGAGAAAATAACGATGGTTAAAAATAAATGTTTAGCTGATTTTTCAATAGAGTTGAAAGTCCTCTGGAAGTTACCTGTGGAGCTGCTGCTCAGGACTGGTAAAAATCTAGTATATATGAAACAAGGTGAGATCAGCATTTTCATGTTACTTCTGAGCTTTTTCATTTCTTTTTTTTTTTTTTTTTTGGGTAGTCATTATGAAAATCTGTAGCTAATCAGGAAATCTTTTGTGAAAGACCACTGGTAGCTGTTTGCTACCAGCTTGTATTGTGTGTAACAAATTTCTTCTAGTTCCTTGAACTAGAAGTTGTGTCTCAATTTGAGATAATGTACTGCAAATTATTGTCCTGGATACACTAGCAAGTTTAATCAAAATCAGTGGAAAATTCAGTCATTTTCATAAAAGTGTGTACTTGTTAACAAATTCTATACTTGCTAACATAATCCATAATGTACATGGATTTGTAAATCCAAAGTATTGTTTAAAAATTATTGGTATGGGTAACATTCTAACAGTGATTCTTTAATCACTGGGACAGAATTAGAATTGGATATGTTGATCACCTAGATTAAATGGTATTAATAACTTCTGCATAAAAATCTGTTCCATAGAAAAGGAAATACTGTATTATGGATACCAGCTATAAACTCCCTGAAGAAAACACATTTATTTTGAGTGACTGTCTATTTTCTTTTTGAAGGCAGATTGCTTGTACAGAATAAGCAGTGAGTGAGATAAAAATGTAAAGATATTTGGGTTTGTAACAAACTGGCTAACGTGTTGATAAGTTCAGGTTTGTGGCATCTATACCATCATGTAAACAGTTGAGTTCACCTTCTCCTCCCTCACCTGTACCCACCCCCATCCACCCTTCACTGGCCATGTTGCTTATGTCTTTTTTTGGATTTCTACTCAGCTGTGACAGAAGCTAAATAACTTTCCCAATAAGGAAACTCAAGGTTGGAGTTGGGAATAGCTCATACTGACGGCATGGATCCGTCTGTACTCAGCTGGCTCATGGCAGCTTAGCCATTGTTCTCCAAAGATGCAGCTTTTGGGTAACACTGTGACTTCTCACTGTGCAGTCATGTGCCATTCAATGTTAACCCACCAGCATAGCCCTACCCTTCAAAAATTGTGTACTGGACTGTGAACTAGCCCAGTTGTTGTCTCTGGGAAATCTCTGTGGCTCATGCTGCAAGTCTGATACCATTGTTTAAGCACTTAAAAAAAGAGCAATGACATCCTCCTCCACCCAAAAAAGATCACAAACCAAACAAAAAGAAACCCTAACAACAAAATAAAAAATACCCCTAGAGTTCCTAATATTTTCAGGGATTATGTCTGAGTGATCAGCTTCCTTCTGAGAAGAAAAATCTTAAGTTGTTTTATGAGGCCATCTCCCTGGACACCATCCAACTGTGTAAATTCAAGTCTGAAAAATAGAAGGTGGTCTATCTCAGGGCTAAAGGATCCAACAGCTTTTGTGTGGATATGTGTTGTATGACCTGCTTTTTCTGTGAGCACCTATAAAAAACATAAAGCAAGCCCTTGATAGCATATTAGCCCCTTCAAGAAATTCAGGGCTTTTTCTGAGTTCCATGGTCAGGTATTGGTAACAGCTTTCCTTGAAATCCAAGGATAGAATGACAAGGCATTTCTTCACATTCAGGCTCAGTGTCCATGAAAAGAGCCCAGTCTGGGTATAAGCTCCAGAGGACGGGAGCCCATGGGAAACCTTCATTTGTGAAGGCTGTGCCTCTTATAACCCTGAGCTCCTGAGAAATTCATACCTGCTTCTCTTCAGCTTTTCTGTTGCCCATTTTATTCCTTATACTGCATCTGGAATCCATGATTGTGTCTCAGAGTTGTTGGTGCTCTTTGTGTAGTCAACAAAAAGCATCCTGAACATTCTGAAGACTGTTTTTGAAGATTTCTGGCTACTCCTAATAACTCAACAGCCACTTAGGCAATAATATCAGGATTCATTTGTAAACTGGGATCTGAAGGCTTTTCTGGCACCTTCTCCATTGCGGGGCCCCAGTGTGTTGGTATTGGCTCCTTTCAGTGCAAACCCTCTAGATCCAACCAAGAGGAAACACAGACAGGATAGCTTCCTTGGTCATTCCTGGCAGACAGTTTTTTGCATGCCTTCTGTGCCTCCTTTTTTTCCCTCCTTACCTCTGTTAAGATTTTTTTCCTCTTATATTTGAATGTACACTTCCAAAGATTTCTTGCTTCAATGCAATTTTACTGTAATTAGTTCAGACTACACATTTTGCTTGTCTTTTTGTACCCTTTAGATATGACCAATATGAATGCACTGTTAGCAGAATGAACACAGTTCTCATTTCTACCAGTTTTGTACCAATTTATATTGTATTATTTTCTTCTCAGTTGCTAGTTTATCTCTTTTTTTCCCTCTCTCTGTGGGGAAAGGGATAAACTAATTAGATTTTAAATGCCATATTGCAGTTGTAAATAAGGTGTTACTCATTAAAAATAACCTTTTATTAGGACCCATTTTGTCACAAAATGTCTTGTAGGCCATGCATTGTCCCTAAGTAAAACTTTAAACAATTTTTTTTTAATTTATTTTTTAATTCTACCAGCTTAAACCAAATCAGTCAGTGACACAATGTACCTGGATAAGTGTTTTGGTAGTGTCATGGTAAAGGTGGTTCATAAGCATAAAGCTTTGTTTCATAAGCATAATTGTCTCACAATGATGTATGGTAAAATAGTGTATTATATTTTAGCTGGTCAAATATGACAACTAAGACTTTTTCTTTTTTTTTTTTTTTTTTTTAATAGG